CATGATCACTCCATTTTTTTTTTTAACAATTAATTTATTAAAATTAGTTTTTGGAGCTTTAAAAATAATTCAATTTTTAAATTCTTAAAATATTGTGTACTACTTAAGGAGTGTTATATGTTCATTAAAACTTCGATGTTTCAAATGAAAAAGTCCCTTTTTTGCTGCAAATTATTTATTTTATTTTAAATTTTGATATACTTACCTATATACTTAATTGAAAATTCAAATGAGTAGTTTTTAAGTTATTAAAATGTTTATAACTTATAAGTATTAAAAATGATTGTGATGTGAGGAAATTGTACGTCAAAATTTTCAGAAAATTAATCTGTTAAATAATTTACTGTTTAAAAGGGGGATTGTTATTTGAAAAATAATATTTATTGTATCTCCATAGAACACTATTTATTTAACTAGTACAAAAAGCTTAAATATCTAAATATATGGTATTTAAGACGTATATTTAAAAATTCCAAAAATCATATTTCGAATAATTAGATCACTGAAGAACAATAGTAAACGAGCATGCATGACAAATTATTCTATATATTTGTATATTAAAAATGCTGCACGCGTTAATAATATAATTATTATTTCTATTAGTTGTGTCGATGATGTGCAGGTACTTATGTATAATATATTGTTTGAGATTTAAATTAATCACTGGTCACTCTTATCATTATTATTATTTTCTAAGCCATGTGATTAAAATATTTTTCAATTTTAAATCATAGTATAAGTTTTGTATATACGTATATATATATATATTATATATAAAAGGTACATAATACAGTCAGCTAAAGGTCATCTCATATAGCTCACGGGTAGTGCCATCTCATTATTATTCTGTTTCGTGACCCTGCCACAATAGATATCTACATACTGCAGCAACTATATAAATTATCAGAAAGTAAACATCAAACAAAGCATGTGTAAAATAATTGTTTCATTAATTCTATGTAATAAAATATTGTCTTTTTTTTAAAATATTAACAGTATAGTGAAATTATAATCTTTTACATTCATATTGTGATTATTTAAACAGCAAACACTGGTTATTTTGACAAGAATATCAACTAAGCGATCGAAAAAACATAACAAGTATATTTATAAGTAAATAAAAATCTTAGCAATTTATTTTTATCAACCAAAATATGTTTGTCAGTTATTGACTAATGTAAATCTATTATCGCAGTCTGAAACGGAATAATTATATACATTTTTTTTTATTATGTCAATTGACAGCTATGATAACTTTGTTTTTTTTTATTATTATTATTTAAAGGCGTTTAAAATTTAGATATTTAGATATGAGTAGTATGTATAGAGTGAAATGGCAAAAGTGATCGTTAGAGAAAAACGCCTCTATAGTTTATACTATTATTATCTTAATTTAAATTGTTTATGAAAAAAAAAAAAATACTATTCTTTCAGTAATGTTATTTATGGCGAGTACCTTTATCAACATTTTCAGAATATTTCTTCTTCAGGTTATGAAATTAAAATTATAGATTGCTGTTTAAAAATCAAAATCCGGTTATGTGTAGGTTGCTTTTACATCATAATCAATATTCAGTATTGTAATATAATATTATATTTAAATGTATACCTACTAAGAAGTAAGAAGAAATATTTATATATTTTAAGTGAGCTTAGCTTGACTGTATCATGTGAATCTTTATTGTTTTAAAATTAATCGACTAACGTAACATTGTCTTCTATTTATCAATGATAAAATATTCAATTTTTAATTAAATTGTTAAAATTATATGCTTGGTTTAATTTCATCAAAATACTCACCAGCGCATACTAATATGAGATTATATTAAGAAGGGTAAAGTACATATTTTAATTATTTCTTTAAGCTAATATATATTATTTAGTTCTTACTTCTTAGTATAATTTACGAACTAATTGTCTGAATGTTTATTATATTAATTAATAATTATTAACATCACATACGCAACACATGAAAATTATTTCAAAATACGAAAACCAAAAAATATATTTGTAAAATATAATATTAAATATAATGGATAAGAAAAGTTCAATTTCGCAAGTTTCCCGATTGTTTGTTATATTTTAAACACATCTTGTGTACAAAAACATCGATTAGGTGATTGACAGTCACCATCGATCACCCTTGATGCTAGATGGTGGATCGTAAGAGGTATTATCATAAGATAATGGTAAATTTATGGTCTTTACACGGAAATATATTAAATTATATTTGCTTAAGATATAACTACATAAATTATATTATAAACATGTATGTGATGATGGTCATGTAGTATTTGGTTATAGAACATTATTGGTGAAATAATTGGGGTCAATAAAATATTAACGTCATGAGGTTAGGTTAATTGTATCGGAACTATTTAAATTGTACATTGACATTTTTCGTTAACACAATAATAATTATTACTCATCAATAAATTAAATGATCATTCGAATCTCTATGGTGTAAAATAGCCGCGCATAAAACGGTCTACAATATTCTACATCACATACCATCAGAACATCATAAATTCATAAGTTTATAGTAATCAGCTTAAAGAACTGAGTCTTGAGATTATCGTGCTTAATTAATTCAATTGATGTTAAAATATATGCTAATTATACAAAATGTATATTTAAAATCCAATGTTAGAATTTTGGTTTTAATTTAGCATGATATTCTACAAAAATATGTGTGTTGTCAAAAATGTAACTTTTGTCGTAAATAATCGCATGTAATTTAAAATAGACAATTAAATTTTTAGTTTTTCTACTTTTAAAATATTTTGATTGTGTACAATATTATGATATTATAAATCGCGCGCATTTGCCAGTTGGTATCGATTTTCGTCTGTGCTCTTTCCATAATATTATAATAGATCATTTATCCGTCCATCAAAAATTCGCATGGTATAGGACATGCATAGGTATTTTAATTGATACAAATAATTTATTATATATAGTGAAAAGTACAATTGAATCTATTGTCTAAAATTGAAGTTATTTTGATTGTTTTTGTTTTTTATTATACTACAACTAAAGTATCGGAAAACTATATCTACGCATTATGTGCGTTATCAAAACTTTGACGTCTGGATCGAGAGAACGACGCAGCTGTGTATTATATTATTAATAAAATAACCATTGTTATAACAGTTGGCTGCTGATAGATCGATAACAATTTCTCAAATTTCTTTGGAACGACAAAAAAAAAAAAAAAAAATAAAATAAAATAATAATAAGATAATATTTTCTTATAATAATATGTCAAATGTGTGTACGTTATTGACGAGGTAAAAAAAAATATAGGTATATCTTTACAACAAAATTGCGTATAGTTATGGTCATTTTTATCAAAACGTTATATTTATATTAAATATATCAATGCGTTAACGTAATAAAAATGTAGTATAACATCTATGCAAACTAATATCGATCACAGTTTAGTTGATGATAACTGCGGATTGGCAGCTACGTTATGACTATAATTCCCATCTGATCATCTAAACACATAACGCCTGTAAAAAATGTGGATCATAGATATTTTATTGGTACAGGGTGTTTTACCAAGCATACTTACCCTGTTTTTCTTCAATAACACAGTTATTCAAAATCTGATTTTTGGAATATTTAAATACACCTAAAGACTATAATTTTAATTTTTTAGTTTTTTTGTACTATTTAAATAAAAAGTATTTTGTAATGATACAAAATTCTGTTTTTTAAAATAATCTTTTTTTTAAACAGTAAATTAATTAGCAAACCATTTCTTTAAACATTTTTAGTCATTAAAATCAAAATTCATATGAGTAGTTTTTGAGTAATTTAACTTAGTGTAATAAGGATCATAGGTCTAGAATGTCTAGACAAATAAAAATAAGGGGTTACATTGATATTAAATTAATATTATTCTATCAATATTTATACCACTCTGTATTTAAAGTAGGTATTTCTATAGAAATTTTAAAAACAGTAGAAAATGCGACGTCGGTGTTCCGTCAAAATAACCATACTTTGCACGTCATAATTACAGAATTATCGAATTATAATTTAAGAATCGTATGTACAGTATTGACTTACGTCATCATCATTTAGATGTAGACGCGATGGTGTAATTTCACGGGTTTTACGGATTACGAGTAGGGTTGGTGAGAATTAGATTATGGTATACATTTATCAAAATCTTTAGAAAAAAATATTGTAGTCGATCACGTCGGTCTTGTGACCATCGTCGTCTGTTGGAGATTTTAATTTACATAATATATAATACGCAATAATATATATTATATAATATATGTATGTAAATATTTTTACATAATATTATTATACGTTATCATTCTATACTATGTCAAAACGTATGTGACAATAGTTGTATTGTTTAAAATCTTAAACTTAATTTTCCGGATAAGTTTTACCACGGAATGATTTTTACTTTAAAAATCACGCGTCACTAAATTTTGGTTTTTGAATGTGTTTCTAATTTAACCTATAGAAAATAAACGAAAAAAATCGTTTAATAAAATGCCCACTTTCGGTGCCAAACGCCGCAAATCGAAGTTAATGCGTACGGAAAAAATTGATCGCGGAGGGGACCACTATATCCCCTCTCGCTCTTACACAAAAACACACACACACACACACACACACACACACATATACAGAGTAGTGTGTACTATACGAGCGCGCTGCATCGGACATGATGTTTGTTGATTATATTATTATATGCTGCACATGATCGTAGTACAGTTGCTTTGCGCGTAATGAGCTAGTTGCGACGACGGCGTCGCGTGTGTGCTGTACCTATATAACATATAATATATTATAGCGACGAATATATTGCATTATTTGACCCCCACCCTTCCGCCTCTCGACACGTCCGCCGAATGTCAAATCGATCAATAAAAATTTAAATCGTAAAAAAAATTCTAATCGATCGCCACTACCGTTTTCATATCGTTTTATATACGCGTATATTATACATGTTATTTTATTATTATTAACAGTTGCGCGGCCCCGGTCGTTGTTGCAGGGATGCAGGGAACGGTATAATCATTGTTGTAGCTACTTCAGCATCAATCCGCCGCCAGTCGTCACGCCAAGCGCCTAAGACGAGCGCAAACCGCACGGTAATAATAGCCGACAACAATTATTAATATTTACATCCGTAACCTGCACCGGAACCAGATTTAAGCCCACGAGTATTTCGACATCACGATCATGAACTGGTCGCGTCTGTGCTTCCTGACGGCCGTGGCCACGTTCGCCATGTCCGGCGTTTGCGGCTCTTACATACTGGAAGACACGCCGCTCCACTGTTCGGTGCGCCGGAGCATATCGCCTTGCACGTGCAGTTACTTCACCGGCATGGTTCGTCCCAAGATCATGGTCATCTGTCAGAAAATGGTGTCGTTCGAGAGCGTTATCGGCGCGCTCCAGAACAAGTTCGACGCGGTGTTCGATTACGTTCTCAACATCGAGTATTCGGAACTCCACGACCTGGACACGAGGCGGTTCAACGAGCTGGGCTTCCCGATAGTCGACCTCAAGCTCACCAAAAATAATCTCAGGTGGGCGCCTTTATAATACTATCAAAATTGTATTATAATAGTATATAATAGAATGGTATGGATACACGATGATAACATAAGGCCTTGTTATCGAACTGTATATGGTTTTACGCGAGACTGGTTTAAAGAGGAGCGGAAGGGACACTTGTCCTCTAGCGTAAGTTTTTGGAAGCGCGTAAAATTGTGTACAGTATGATTTATAATATTTCAAATCACTAGGATGAATTAAAAATATTTGTTTCGTACTAGAATGATGTACTGTATTGATAGCAGTATGGAAATCAACAATTTGAAAAATACTCGCCTTGTGGCGCAAAATTTCTTAATCTAGCATTGATTGTATTTGATACACTCTGCTACTGTTTTGTTTTCCGGAATAGAAGATTCGATTGAAATAATTTTAAAACACGAGAGATTGCGTTAAATCTTCCTGACACGCCCTATATTTACGTATTTGTGACGTAGTTATGTGTTAGTTATTTCCGATAGCATGGACTGCTAAATCGAGTCGTTTTCGAAAATGTTTAAGATAGTTTAGTAGTACATAATATTATACCTAAATATATATATATAATATAGGCACATAAAGCTATTTTCAATTTCAGTACCTACACAAACTTTTTCGAGATAATTATATTAACGTTTTTTTTGTTTTATAATATGAGTAAACTAATAGTGAATAGTAGATGAGTAATTAAAAATTTGTATTATGATCATCAAAACTTTGTACATCGATATTTCAAAACAAAAACAATTTTAATTACTCATTAGTAAATTTTACTTAATTACAGATAACTTGTAGATTTGTAATAATGTAAAATCAAATCATTTTAGATGACAAAAATTTATGCAAACACTATAGTGATATAACAGATGGGAAAATTAAAAAAAAACCCTTTTTTAAATCTAGTATTAGTGTAGTACAAGTGTTAACATCTTATAGTTATTGATATAATAAAAATTATACGTACATTTACTACCCATCTAAATTTATTTTTTTTCAAATTTAAACATTTTTTTTTTTTTGAAATCGTTCAATTTATTATGAAACTTTTTAAAAAGGAAAAACTAAAGGTAAAATCACGATCGTCGAAAATAATATACATTTTTAAAATGGCACGAAACCGTGTAAAGTATTTAGTCAGAGTTGATAGGCGGTAGCACACGGAGGCAGTGCTTAAGATTTAAATTCTAATGCTAATATGAGATATACAAATATAATTGGTGAATAAAAATTAGGATTTCTATAATCAAATTTGATTGTATAATTCCTTGAGCCGTGATAAAAATAGAATAAAAACATAAAATATTTTATGGAGATAGGTAATCTGATATTAAAGTATCCATTCAATAAACTAGACTACATATTTGTGCATAAAAATAAAAATATAGATTAAAGATAAATTAAAAATAATATAAATTATATAACAACTATTATGGCTTTCTTATTCACGTGCTAATAATAATTTTTCGAAATCATGTTAAAAATATTTCTGTAAAAAAATTAATGATAGGAATAATAACCATAGTAAAATGCTTTGAACTTTTTTATACTTATTATGTATTGTTTAATATTATTTCACAAGCTTTAGTATCGATTTGAATTTTTGCACTCAATATTAGCAGATATTACCAGCTAGCAGCTATGTATGTAAGATCATTAAGTAAATACAAATAATTAAATTCATAGATTTTTGTGAAAAATCTCTTGTTGAACAATCAATCATATTATCATATTCGTAGAATTCAAACCAATAAACATTTTTTTTATTTTGGTTTTCGTCACTGTTTGAATATTATTGACGAACAAGTTGCACTGTTATTGTTACATAATATTATATAATATAAGCTGATTGTCTATTTATTACATCCAATTTTTAATTAATGAACATTTTATTATAATATTGCTAATACTTCTATGTATATAGGTAAATGTACGACGTGTTAGGGTATTCACTATGACGATCGGATTATTCATTATCTGTTACTATTTCGTAAAAACAATAACATCTGCACTCCTTCAATACGGTCATACACGACATGTAACTTCGTATAATTATTACAATATTTACGATTACATTTTTTCGAGATAAATATTGTTCTGGCAAAACTAAATAGACGTGAATATTGCGTAAATTTAAAGGTTAGGCATAATAGGTAGGTATATAACATTGTTATCATGGTTATCATATAGACTGTATAGTAAGAATAATCGTGTTTATATTGTGTTCCGAGGTTGTATATTTTCTTAACAAAAATTAAGTTATGATATTTACAACAGCATTTATTTGACGGAATATCATGAACACGTCAAGTAGGTAGTTATGGTCTTGAAAGTATTGGTGACCTCTCATAAAGTTTCGAAAATATCATAGATTTTGTCCCATTAAATTGCGAACACCGAGTTTTGTCTGCACAAAAAGCTAAAGAGACACAACGATAAGAATTATATTATTTAAAACACTATCGCGTTAGTGTTAGACGATTTAAATTGACTCGTCACAATTATTATGAAATTGGTGTCGACGATAGAATAATAAATATATCACCTACTACATCATATTATTATTGTAAAATTACAAAGGTACCCAATAATTATTACGGATGACTTTGTTCCACTTTGTAGTACGCTACCGGATGAGGCTTTCATTGGTATGAACAGGATACGGATCCTGTACTTGTCGGACAACAGACTCTGTGCAGTTCCCACTCAGATATTCAAGCACATGCCCAGTATCGAGGTATTGGACTTGGCCAGGAATTCCATACACAGTGTTGCTTCTGGAGACTTTCAAGTACGTTACAGTCTATATATTTAATGTCGTGTATATGCAAATGCGTGTACTATTATATTTTATTATTGTAATAATATGGTTTAATAAAGTGTGTAGACATATTTTCCGGGCGGGTTTAGCTCTATTGCAGAAGAGCGCATGTATCGTACAGGAAGTAGCGCGAGCTGCAATCCTTCACCCTGCAGAGATTAAACGCAATCGCTTGTCTACAAACTCGCGATAAAAACATTGTGAATATGAAATCATATTTTTCGTTACTGTACTATTGCGTTAATAAAGTAAAGAAAAAAAAACAAATATTGTAATATTATTTGTTATAATAATTCGAAATAGTTATCATCATCAATCTTACGTAACTAATATTCTCAATGACATTCTCATGTATATGTTATATGCAATTTATGTACTTAACGCGGAAATTGAAAAGCATATTTATACAAGAAAAATGAGAGTATTTACGCGGAAATATGGCATTATTTTTGCAAAATCCATTTTGGTGTAATTCAAAAACAAATAGCTGGAGATACGTGAGATTTTTAATACATTTTTTAAAATTATTCTATAAATTTTATCATTTTTAAAACCAATTTGAGCTATAAAAAACGTTTTCAATTTTTTTCTTTATAATATGTTAATCAAACAATTTATGCAATGTCATATATCTGAAGAATGCAATACAAGATTCTGCTTAAGTTGTTCTTATAGTATTTAAAATTATAGAAATTACATTGACACAATTTTTTTTTAAAGGTTTAAAGTGCCCATTTTGACAAAAGTTGTTAATATTATCAAAATACACTAATTATTTTTAATTCAAAATAATTTGAATTTTAAAAACTAAAGCTTAAGTAATGAAAATTTATATAATTATATTTATAAAATAATTATATTGTATTATTTTATTTTATTTTCAAATGCTTTAAAAAAAAAGTAAATTGTGACATGCGTTTTAGATATTATTTAATTGGGGTATGAACAATTTATAAAGAGTTATATTATTGTATTAAATTTCTAAACATTTTTACTTAAAGACAATGATATTATCATACATAATTTGCAAATAAACTTAAACATCTATAAATTTACTTGACTGTTTTTGCTGTTACCAACTAGAATCAGTTTGCTGCCAGAAAATTTGAAAATAGAATTAATTTTAAAAGATAATGAATGATAACAGCAACTCATATTGTACAAACAATACATTATAATCTAGTATAATATAGTTTTGCATAAAACTTAACATGTACTATAAAAACTTTTTTTTTCAAAAGTTTGGCTTAGCAATCTAGATTAGAAAGTTAAATAAAAACCACATATTATTGCGTTACTATTAATAATTAATGAACAAAATAGAATTTTTTGTTGTGATCGGTTATTTTGAATTGATTTTTAGAGTCTGTCATTGATGAATACGTTCGTGATGGCCACGAACAATTTGACCGATATAACGAATGGATCGTTCCCCACGACGTTGAGGAAAGTCCAATTGGCTGCTAACAATCTGACGGAATTAAACGGAAATTTGAGGTAAATTACGTTGCAGAAGTGATTTGAAAGTTTGAATACACCGTGCGCTCTCAAAAGTTATATACGTTTATATATTGTATACTATAATACTGTTTGTGTGTAGCGTTGCTTGTATTGTTCATCTATTGCGTCAATAATAATAGTTTTCAACGGTACCACGGGCAAAGTCCGTTTGATACAACATAATATATTATAATACAGTAGTAAAATAGTTATGAATGATACATATATAAACCCATGTTCTAGTATATGATAAAACAAAATACTAAAAACTGTATTTTGTTAATTATTACCTATTATTATTCGTGAATACCTTTCATGTAAAGTGTAGGTACCCTATAAGATTCTTGTTTATAGAAAATAATTATCATTTATGCTCAAAAATTTCGAACTTACATGAAATATGTATACTACGTTTTTATTATACTTAATATTTTACGTAATTTTGTATAATGGCTATACCTCTTTATATTTTGTTAGAAATCAAAAAGAACTGGAATGGCTGTACTTATCTAATAACCGGATAAAAAATCTCGATGGAGAATTGCCAATTGACAACGACAGACTAATAGTCTTGGACCTGTCCAAGAACAGATTAACTCATTTGCCACCAGAGCTTAACTGTCTCAAGGCGCTAAGGTATTTTTACTGCGCATTTAATCAGTTGACCGGATTGAACAAAACATTGTCTAAGTCAAGAAAATTGGTTTGGCTTGAACTCACCGGTAACAAGATACAAGAGGTAAGTGTGAGCAATTTACGAAAAGTTATTGGTATAAATCACGGGGAGAAGAGAAATTTATATCCATAAAAAGATAATTGGAAATATAATTTCTTTATTTTATTTTATAAATATTACAGTATAAAATATCATATTATTAGGTATATAATATTATATTTAAATATAATGTTATCTATTATTAAATTGTTAATAGCTTTTCATATGAAGCGATACAATATTGATTGTATTTAAGTATTTTACAATATTTTTCTTATAGTTGTATTTGGTTTTCACCAATGTAAAAAACATATTCTGTAGGTTGGCAAACTTTGACAAGTATAATATATTGATATTTCTTTTATAATACTTTTTCAGTTGGCGTCCGATGAATTCGAAGAAGCATCGATGATCGAAGTGTTAGAACTCAGTAACAACTGCATAAAACACTTGAACAAATCGTTATTGCCACTCACTCAACTATCCGAAATAAATTTGTCCAACAATAAAATCACCGAATTTTCGTTGACTGAAATTAAGGGATTAAAAGAACTTAAGTTGGTCGATTTGTCACACAATATGATTTCCAAACTCAGTGGCCATTCTGACGTAATATATAAGATAATACGTACATAGTTGACGCAACTAAGCGCAATATGTGCAGTAAAATGTAGAAATATTAAATTATAATATAATCCTAAGTTTTTCTATTTTTCTCTAGATTATAAATGAACCAGTGACTGGAATTGAGCACTTGAAGTTGGACCACAATGAGTTGGAGTCACTCGGTGGGTCATTGATAGGTATCAAAACACTTGTCAAACTCAATATCAGTCATAACAAATTTACCGATATATCACCATATGATCTGACCGGATTAAATTTAAAAATCTTAGATGTATCCCACAATCTATTACATATACTCCCCGACTCGTCTCAGGTAATTATTCGATGGATAATATAAACCGCATATAACAATAATATAATAACAACAAATTACACGAGGTGTGCTACAATTTTCTTGTATACATAATATAATTTTTATTTTCATCCCGTAGATTCATTTACCGGCTCTTGAGATGTTAATAGCTTCAAACAACGTTTTGACTGGTTTGTCAAAAGACTTCCAAGGATACCCTGTACTTTGTCACGCCGATCTCGAGTTTAACAGTATATCGACCATTCAGGAAGAGCTGGTCGAAATGACCCAATGCAAATTGCATGGAGTGAATAGCACGTTGAGAATATACTTGGAAGGTAAGACGGGAATGATTTTCTATTGGTAAAATATTATTATCAATATTATATGCGAATTTGTTGATACATAACTTGGTGTCATGAATTGATTATGCTGGATAAACATACATTATCTCAAAAATGATTAAAATATTTAAAAAAATATATCTAAGTAAAAATGTTTATACGTATATTGAACATTTGAATATTGAACTTGTAGTTAATTATAAATATTTAAAGCTAGGATGAGTAAAGTGAAGTGGCACAGTAGGGTTCAATGATGGTACATTACTCCGCTCATCAAAGTTTTAATATTTTTGATACTAATTAGATTTCGGTTTAAAATTTATATTTTATATATATTGAAATCCAAGATAAAATATTATATAAAAGAATATGTAATTTAAAATGTAGGTATATCTATCGTCTTTTGAAAACGTAAACATTTAAAAAATATAACGATAAAAATTTATAGAGAGTAGCGAGAATACAAAAAACTTTTAGTATTTCATTACAATATATTTAAAAACAAAATTGTCTACTTTGTATTGTTTATACTTTTTTTCAAGACAATGTGTGTTTACACCGTAAAACTGATTGTTTTGCATTTAGTTTATAATATAATTGAAATTCACATCGACAGGTAATCCGGTGCTGTGTGACGATAACACAAAAACCATAACGAAGGCGATGGAGTTGAAATACAATGCTGAAGTTAGCGGTACCGCCAAGTGCATTCCCGTTACAAACGACATAAAAATATCTAACCTAACCGAGATCGACCAATCCCCAATTACTGTGATCGTGACATGACGATGACCATCATCAACTATACGCGTATTATATCTTTGAATTAATATTAATTATGTTTTCATGTTAATATTATAATTTTTATTTATATATATATATATATATCTATATATATACAATTTCTATATTAATTGTTTTTACTTCTCTGTTGATTATATTATTTTATTTTAATAATTTTTCTCGTCGTCCCTAGGACCTATAATACTATATAATATATAAAAAAATAATTTGTGCTCCGGACTGTCGTCACAAACCTTAAAATTCTATAGGTATATATACATGTTATGATTAATATAGTTACTTTTGTAAACGAAGCGTAACGTATATATTATATGCTCTGTTCACACTGCTATCTAGTCTAGCTTGTATCGTGGTTATATAATAATATTTTTATGATATATTATTATGACGATAATAGTTGTAATAATAGCAATATTGTATATTATAATAGTTTTATTATTATCATTTTTATCGTCGTCTAGATCGTAATTATTATATTGTTTACGAATATACATACAAATGTTATAACGTGGAAAGGGCTTGGATCGTATAAAGTAGGTATAAATAGTACGAATTTTGATTATTATTATTATTATTTTTTCACTTTTTCTTGTTGTAGGATTTTCGTATAATTGTGTCACTCCACTTGGATTTTAACAATAATAATAAAAAATGTTAGTGATCGTAAAAAAATCCACAGTGTTAATATTACATTCAATACGGCCAATTGTTGGTGCGAGATCAAAATTTGCTGATATAACCTTAAATTTTACATCTACCTATTGTTCTATATAAATATGTGAAATGGCTATTATTTTTCATTTAAATGTTTATAATTGTTTTTTTCAATATACAAAATTAATGAAATAAAGTTAAACTTTCACTGTTTAGTTTTATTATTTTTTCTTGTGTATTCGTTTATATACGTTTTCGAAACGAAAGTTTTTGTTTTGTATCTCTATTATAATAAAGTTGGTATTGAGGGGGAAAATGTATTTAGAGCGCGTCTCTTCTGTCAAAATAATTTTTCCACTTCGCTACTCAAACTTAACGAGGGACAAGGGTTTCGTTTCCGTCTTTACTTCGAAGAAAAATAAATTTTTTTTCTGCAGGACAATGGAAACTTATGGTAGCTCTTAAATAAAGAAAGAGGGTGACCAAAAAAAAAAAATCTACTTCCTATGTTCCTACGAGATTTACTAAGGGTACAACCCGCGGGCATTATATAGTCATTTGAAGGGTGAAAATAATGGTTGAACGTTTATTTCAGTTTTAATACTACATTCACGTTCAAGAATAACAAAAAAAATATTTTAAAATACCTTTACCTATATTGTTATTTATAACTTAAATTTAAAAAAACATGTTTAAATATTTTTATTTAAAAAAAATCATGCTTCCAATTATTTTTTTTAAGTAAAAATGTATTTATTTATGAAATAAACTTTTCTGGTTTATCATAAAGATAAAAGTATTCATTACTAAAAACTAAAGTATTAATTTTTATAGGTAGGTATGACCTAACTTTCAATTACAAAATAATATAAATTAGATTCTTTGTAAAATTGAAATTGATTTTTTTGGTTTATTTTTCAAATTTTTAGTATAAGCTTTTAAGCTACATTTAAACTGATAAGTGTAAGTAGAATTATGTAGAAAATTATTAATTGTAAAAATATATGTGTGTTTGAATTTGAAAAACCTGTAAAATGAGTAATTGTAACCTACTTAAAAAAATGTGATGAACTTAAATCCCTTAAAAAATATTATGATATAGATGTCATAATGAAAAAATAATTTACCAAAAATCCTAGAACTATTAAAAAGTTGAAATTATATCAAGTTTTTCAGTTTTTATTTCATTAGTTGATCTTCGTTACGATTTTTGAACGATTAACCCTGACCACTTTTAGGTTATATCAGTTGTATGTATATACTGATACTAATGTTATTAATGTAACAAATAAGAATAAATAATATTTTATACGTATTCCATTTAAAATAGTAGTGTTTATGATTTTTCAAGTTAAAAATAATTTATACTATGATTTAAGTAAATATACAAATCTTTGTTTGGTGAAATAAGTATAATCTAGCAATATTTTAGAATATTAATTAAATATAATAATATATTAATATGTATGTATTAACGTAAAGCAATACATTTAATGATCAAATTAAAAACTCAAATAAAAATAATTTTAATTATTTCAGATTTGAATACAAAATACTTTATTAATAAATAAGTAAAATGCAATTACATTTTTTAGGTAAATTAATAATTAATAATTGAACAGACCAGATAATTATATAAGATAAGTATTTTATCATTAAACTTAAAATTACCATAATATTCTCATAAGTTAATTGCTTTTTAAATTTGATTTATTATGTATTAAATTAGTTTATTCTGTAAAAAAAATATAAGCAGTAGGTATTATAGTTGTTATCTGTCAGATGTATTATACAAGGTGATTTTTTGTAAGTGAATAAATTTTCATTACTTAAGTAAATATGGAAATTTTTATTTATATACAGTTTTAACTTCTTGAAGCTATTATTAAATAGTTTTTAAAAAATATTTATATATTAATAAACACATTTAATTATATAGTTTTATGATAATAATAATTGGGATATAGGTACATTTTCTATATTTTTAGAATATATCTACTATATTATTCTTTCTCTGTTATTCTTATTTAAACATAAAATAATTATAAATATTGGACTTACCGTTGCTAGTTCAATTTATGTAATTCCATATGTAAAAGATAAATATTCTTATGGATCAATCAAAATTAAAACCCAGGATCGTAAATAATAGAAGAAAGTTAAAATATACCTATTATGTTTATAAAGTTAAATAAAAAATAATTATGAATATTTTCAAAACCATGTATGATATACAATTGAAAGCAACCCTGTATATTATGAACTGTTATTTTTTTTACATAATATTCCAATGTATTTTATGTACATTTGGCTGTAACTAAAATATACAGTACCTACAAATCTACATAATATATATATACACGTGTATATTAGATATGTGTAATAACCAAATGGATTAAACTTATTTTCACATTATAAACAATTATAAATATAATGTGGATTTAATTATTAAACTGTATAAATTAATCATTTTAATGATAAAATAGTACAGTATATACATGATGATATAACATATAATATATAATATATAGGCTTTAAAAATATTACTTTTAATGATAAACACATTGGGTTAACTTAAACATAAAATTATTTATGTATAAATCTATTCTACAATCATACAATCAATCTAAACCTATAGTTTCCAATTGAAATAAATTACTAAAACCTCGAAAAAAAAAAAAAAAAACACTTCAAAATATAATTCTAAGAAAATAACAAACTTTCTGTGATATTATGTAATTAATTACACTCTTCATATCTTGATTTGCATCTATAAGTTGTTCAGTAAGAGCTAACAATTTCAATAGGAGAAAAATTGTATTCATGTTTGACAGTCACACTCTTGCTTTTTCTCAATACATGACTTATAAATAAACTTAATTCTTGATAATCTTTAAAGAATCCTGAAACGAAAATGACCCAAGATTTATAAAATTAATTAGTAAATAATAGTTTTAAATAAAAATACTATTGAATCAAACAATAGAATAAATTGTCGTTTCCATTTGAAAACTATTGTCATTTACATACATTCATGAGCCACAACAGAAAAGTTAAGGTTGATCATATTATTGGTAAAAGTATCCAGATAATGACTAAGAAGATTGAATAATGACTAATGTCTTAGTTGTTATAAAGCCATGTAAAATCATATATAGACATATGCATGATAAAAGTTAAAATATGTTAATATCCACATAATATATACTTATAGTTATGTATAATACATAATCATAGTTATAAAGTCAATGTAGAATAAAATCCCTTTTAATTGAACCTTTCTTCAAGCATAAAAATAATAAATAAATAAACAATTTTGAAATACATTTTGAGTATAATAAATAGGAAGAATATTCGCTCTAATTTTTTTTTTTTTTTTTATATAAATTTTTTAAAATTATTGATATTTTGATTTTTTAAGTTTACCTATTGACTATAATTTAAATTAATGAGATTTTGTAAATCATTTGAGTAATGTCCTATAGAGCCTATAGAGATGCAAACTTTTTATTATATATTATTTTTTTGAACGTTTTGTTAGACCCATATCCAATTAAAAACTATTTGGTCATTGAAAACCAGCATTTTTTGAAAAAAAAATTTTGCTTAGGAATGGCCAGCATCAAAATAAATTTTTTTTTTTAAATATTCATACTTTAAAGTTTTTATCAATATTCTGATATTTTTTTATTTATCATATTATTCATTTTTATGATTAGATAATTTGTTTATGTATAAATTGTTTTGAGCAAATACGGAAGCAACAATAACATTTATCTCCGTGTATCTACTTTGTTTCGTATATTAAACCTAACTTTGTTCAAATTGTTATCTATACTCATCTTTTACAGACAATATGGTGTTATTTTTTATACCTTTATGTGCTTATTTGCCGATTATTTCAAAAATTAATAACTTGATTATTAAAACTAGCTTATAGAATCGGAAATGAGCTTATTACCTTTTTCTTCCTTATAAGTTCATTGGTAAATTGTTAATCTTTTTAATAGATTTTTAAAATCATTTTAAAATCAACTGAATAATTATTAAGGTGACACAATATTGAGAATTTTTCTATCTGTATTAATTTAAATTTAGTTGGAGAAAAAATTTTACCATTTTTTTTTGTATTAAATTAAAATTTTATTTTTATGGACAGATAGCGTTACTAATTTATTCATATTTTATCGCTTGATTTTTCATAGACTAGAGTCGGTCTATAAAACTATGCATGAAATTGGCTCCGTAGTGTACTCTTTAATATAAAAAAAAACTGTATGACGTTCAGATAAGTAGTTTCCGAAATCATTGTCATTTAAGATTGTTATTATGTAAGATATACTTACTCATATCTTTGTCAATATTTCTAAAACTCGATTCTAGCACTACCTAATGGGTCAAATTTTTAATCCAAACCATCCA